TGAGAGAGAGTCATCGATCAGCTGCCTCTTGCACACCCCCCACTGGGGATGTGCCCGCAACCAAGGTACATGCCCTTGACCGGAATTGAACCCGGGACCCCTCAGTCCCCAAGCCGACGCTCTATCCATTGAGCCAAACCAGTCCCGGCTATTTTATTGATTTTTTTACAGGGAGGAAGGGAGAGAGATAGAGAGCTAGAAACGTCGATGAGAGAGTATCATCGATCAGCTGCCTCTTGCACACCCCCTACCGGGGATGTGACCGCAACCAAGGTACATGCTCTTGACCGGAATCGAACCAGGGACCCTTCAGTCCGCAGACTGATGCTCTACCACTGAGCCAAACCGGTTTCGGCAGTAATCCCATAGTCTTTATTAATACAAGACCACTTTAAATTTTGTTATTTGGGTTGGAATGGACTCTAAACATCAACAGGAAGTGAAAAATTTAGGAGCTTTTATATTCCAAGGCAATGTTTATAAGGGAGAGCTTGCCTTCTATCTGGACATGTTACATGCGAAGCCATATTTTATTATGCATTGATTATACAATATGTTGCATTCTGGAAAATACCTTGTATGAGTGATATGCTAGAACCCAAAACAAGCTTAATTATAAATCAGATGAGTTAGTTATAGGAACTTGCTTTGGAAAGGAAAACATATTCAGTGGTTGTGGATCCTCTGTGATGGGAAGGATCTTATTTTTAATAAGATTTGAGTGTGTTTTTAAAGATAATTCTTTTTCTTTTTTTTAAATATATTTTATTGATTTTGTACAGAGAGGAAGGGAGAGAGATAGAGAGCCAGAAACAACAATGAGAGAGTCATCGATCAGCTGCCTCTTGCACACCCCCTACTGGGGATATGCCCGCAACCAAGGTACATGCCCTTGACCGGAATCGAACCCGGGACCCTTCAGTCCCTAAACCGATGCTCTATCCATTGAGCCAAACCGGTCTCGGCTTAAAGATAATTCTTGTTCTCACATGATAGTTGTATCAATTGAGTATTCAATATCCATTGAGAAAATACTAAATGACAATCTACTGTGAATTCAGAAACGCTGAAATGAATTTTTATTGTATTAATTATAACAGCATTTACTTACACTTGAAAAATTTAGACATCTGTTTATATTTAGAGCAGGAAAATAATGGTTTTCAGAAAGTAGGATGTGCTTGATGGATTCAGATTTGGCAAAAACTCTGTGTGCTTCCCAGAGCTCATAGATTATTAGAAATCACTGCTGTAATACAGGGTATAGAAGTGCAAGGTTTTTTTTTTTAAAAAAAACTTTTTTTACAGAGAGTAAGGGAGAAAGATAGAGAGCCAGAAACATCGATGAGAGAGAAACATCGACGAGCCTCCTCCTGTACACCCCCCACTGGGGATGTGCCTGCAGCCAAGGCACATACCCCTTACTGGAATTGAACCCGGGACCCCTCAGTCCGCAGGCCGATGCTCTATCCACTGAGCCAAATCGGTTTCGGCTAAGGTATTATTATAATTACATAGGATCAGATGTTATAGTAGTATTCATTTTAAAAGTCATTCTTCCAGTAGCAGGTGAATATTTAAAACCACTCTCTCCATGTACTTATTAAGCCTTTTCTCCCCCATCACTGTAGCCAGGGAAAAAAGGTGGTTTATTTAGAGAATAAATCTAGATGGTCCAAAACAACTTGTTAGTCATTAAAGCTATTCATGTAACTGTACACAACCTGAAACACACAACCATTATTGCCGAAGTGATGTAATCCTAACTTGTTGGAGTGTATATTTTTGGAATTATTTTCCCTGATAAATTATTGAATTTCATAACCCATAACCTTTCCTGAAATACTCAGCACAGTGTTTTGAGGGATGAATGTGTCAAAAGAGCTATTCTTTATGAAGAATGGCTGACGTTTCCATTTGTGCCACTTGGGTCGCATGTTTAATTTTGGGAGTGGAGATAAATTTAGCAGTAACACTAATAGCTCTCAGTTTGGTAACTTTCTGGAATTACAGACAGCAGGTTTATTTGTTACATTTTGTAAATGGAATTTTACTGTCTTATTCAACTCATAATTTTATTAAAAAATTTTAGGGACAATGGTTAAATGAAGTTATCATTTCATTAATCCTGGGCTCATCAGTGACTAAAATAATTATCTTAATTCTTTGCATAAATTGTTTATTTTAGTGTCATAATTATTAGAGTTGGGCCATCTGCAATTTATAGAGATTAACTTGTCCAAGGGCTCATAGCCAATAATTGAAACAGTTATAATGTATATCAAGAATGGCCTCTGGCCTTAGCCAGGTGGCTCAGTTGGTTGGAGCATCATCCTGTGCTCCAAAAGGTTTCGGGTTCGACTCCAGGTCAGGGCACATACCTAGGTTGTGGGTTTTGATCCCCAGTTGGGAACTTCGGATACAGCACCAAGCTGTGAGTAGTGAAAACTGGAGTATAATAGCAGTTACAGGGAGCACAGCTTTGAAAGCAATGCCCTGTGGTTTGCTAGTTTAAGTATTGGGGGCTTTTGAGTTTGTCTCCTATCTTGACTATTGTAGTGCATTTATCATTCAAGTCATTTTGTTAATTTAAATTTTCCTAATATGCAGATCAGTTATAGGACTTTTTCAGTGCTGTTGGATGTTTCCTTCTTGATAATAACAGTGATATATACATTTATTGTAGAATTTTTAGGGAAGTATATAAAAATTAAAATTAATCCTAATCCCACTACTTAAGAAGAACTAGTATATTCCCTACTTATTTGTAAATATGATTGGGGGAAAAAGGGGAACATATGTAATACTTTCAACAATAAAGAATTATTAAAAAAATAGCATGTAAATATGGAGTTCATTATATTTATACTTTTCACTTGACATTTTCTCATATTATTAAAAAAAGTTAATTCATCATGTTAGATGATTATAAAATATTTGGCCACATGGATATACTGTACTTTAATCATTCCATTCTTATTGCATATTTAGGTTGTTTCTGCAGACTCATAACTGGAGACATTAAGTTAAGATGCTAACTTTATGCTATGAGAGTATGGATGCAGCTTTTATTTTTTAATTTATTATTTTAAAATATATTTTTATTGATTTCAGAGAGGAAGGGAGAGGGGAAGAGAGAGAGAGGGAGAAAAAGAGAAACATCAATGATGAGAGAATCATTGAATGGCTGCCTCCTGCATGCCTGCAATTGGGGATTGAGCCCCCCAGCCCAGGTATGTGCCCTTGACTGGAATCGAACCTGGGACCCTTTAGTTCACAAGCCAATGTTCTGTTTAACTGAGCCAAACTAGCCAGGGCGTGGATGCAGCTTTTAGAGATGACTTTTCCTTTGAAGTAGTGGAGAGATGGCATATGCGTGGCCCTGCGTCTTTCCCTTATTCCCTTATTCCCTAAAATGGACACAATTTCATTTATTTAAAATAAAATGGCTCCTTGCCATGACCAGGTGGTTCAGTTGGTTGGAGAATCATCCTGTATAGCAAGAGGTTGTAGGTTCAATTCCCCGCAGGTTAGGGTGCATATGGGAAGCAACTGATGGATGTTTCTCTCTCTTTCTCTGTCTCTTTCACCCTCCCTCCCTTTCTTTCTCTCTAAAAACACCAATAAAGCATATCCTTAGATGAGAATGAAAATTAAACAAATAAATAAAAAGTTTCTTTGACACTTTGTAAAAACGAACTTTATTTATTAGACCTGCCTGAATGCATCTAGTATTTCTTTAGGAATAGATCCCTGGAAGTTATTTTTGTGTCAAAGACACTTTTATGTTATTGTTGTTGTTTTTAGATATATATATTTTTATTTCATAGAGGAAGAGAGAAGGGGAACATCAGTGATGAGAGAATCATTGATTGGCTACCTCCTGCACACTCCCTACTAGGGACCAGGCCCACAATCCAGGCATGTGCCCTGACCGGGAATCGAACCGTGACTTCCTGGTTAATAGCTCAACCACTGAGCTATGCCAGCTGGACGGTGTCAGAAACTCTTTTTTTAAAAAAATATATTTTATTGATTTTTTTTACAGAGAGGAAGGGAGAAGAAGAGAGAATTAGAAACATCCATGAGAAACATTGATCAGCTGCCTCCTGCACGCCCCCTACAGGGGATGTGCCCGCAACTAGGGTACATGCCCTTGACCGGAATCGAACCTGGGACTCTAGTCCACAGGCAGATGCTCTATCCACTGAGCCAAATGGTTTAGGGCAGAAAATCATTTAAAAAATATATATTTTATTGATTTTTTACAGAGAGGAAGGGAGATGGATAGAGAATTAGAAACATCGATCAGCTGCCTCCTGCACACCCCCTTCTGAAGATATGTCCACAACCAAGGTACATGCCCTTAACTGGAATCGAACTCAGGACCATCAGTCCCCAGGTCGATGCTCTATCCACTGAGATAAATCGGTCAGGGCTGTCTAAGACTTCTTTTTTTTTTTTTTTTTTCCTTCCTTCCCTCCCTCCCTCTGTCTAAGACTCTTGATGAACTTGGCCAGATTGTCTTCCTGTAATACTGTAGTAATTTTCACTTCCATCAACATCATATGAGAGTTCAGAAATCATTAAACTTTGAGTTGCATTGGTCACAATCTATTGTGTTTTTAAAATTTATCTCTATTGTTGAGAGTATTACAGATGTCTCCCAGGTCACAGTCTGTTTAACTATGCAAACATTTTCTTACCTTTATTAGCATTTTTTATATTCCTAGTGAGATATTATTTGGTAAATTTCATAGCTATTTCATTTCTTCTGAATTGTCTATTTCCTTTGCTCATTTTTTTTTTTCTGTTAAAGTGGGTGATTTTCTTATCAGTTTGTATGAGAGTTCTTCCTATTAGGGTGTAACCTTTGGACAAGGAGTAATAAACTGAGTAATGTTAATACTGTGTTTTGCCTTTCCAGGAAGAAGAAATGGTGTAAGCCATTCACTATCCAAATTTTAAGGTCAAAGACGGGAAGGAAGGTCAGGAGGAACATGGCCTGGCCAAGTATTTTTCAGAGAGGAACTCTGCTGTCCCGGTTCAGCCATCATCATGTTGTCGTGTTCCTGCTCACCTTCTTCAGGTAAGTGAATTGCTGCTATTGTTGCTATTTTTTCCTTTCGAGAGAGATACTTATTACATGGCGAGTGTCTCATGCAGGAACTTGTATGGACTTACCATGGAATAGACTAGTTACTCCTCTTGTACTTCTTCTTTAAAGGTTTGAATTGTTTATTCATTAAAAAAAAATATATTTTATTGATTTTATACAGAGAGGAAGAGAGAGAGAGATAGAGAGTCAGAAACATTGATGAGAGAGAATCATCGACCAGCTGCCTCTTGCACACCCCCTCCTGGGGATGTGCCCGCAACCAAGGTACATGCCCTTGACCAGAATCGAACCCGGGACCTTTCAGTCCCCAAGCCGACGCTCTATCCACTGAGCCAAACCGGTTTCGGCTGTTTATTCATTTTTTTTATTTTTATTTTTATTTTTTTTATATTTTTATTGATTTTTTTACAGAGAGGAAGGGAGAGAGATAGAGAGCTAGAAATGTCAATGAGAGAGAAGCACCGACCAGCTGCCTCTTGCACACCCCCTACTGGAGATGTGCCCGCAACCAACGTACATGCCTCTGACCGGAATCGAACCTGGGACCTTCAAGTCCGCAGACTGACGCTCTACCACTGAGCCAAACCGGTTTCAGCTATTCATTTTTTTTAAAACAGTATACATTGTTAAATAATGTAAGGAAAACATTTATAATTCAGAAAGATTTTTTAATGTGGAAAAAGATACTCAAAGTATACTATTAACACAAAAATAACTTAAACGTTTCAGTAGCTAGCTGATTCCTCTAGGCTTCAGTTATTTCATCCACAGGAAGGGGAAAAAAATCAACAATAAATAAAACCAGTTCTTTCTTTTTTGTGAATGAAGAGATCTCAAAATTACTGAACCAAAGTAACGATGTGCTGCATTTGGCTTGCTTGTTTCTCTAGTAAAAAGTATTGTTTTATTTGTCTTAGGTGGTCCATTTCTCATTAACTTGGCCACCTTCTTATATTCCTTACTTTTACCATCTCCCCAAGAAAAAATAATATTTTATTGATTTTTTACAGAGAAGAAGGGAGAGGGATAGATAATTAGAAATATCCATCAGCTGCTCCCTGCACACTCTCCTCTGGGTATGTACTGCAACCAAGGTACATGTCCTTGACCGGAATCGAACCTGGGACCTCTCAGTCCTCAGGCCGACGCTCTATCCACTGAGTCAAACCAGTTAGGGCCTCTTGTACTTATTGATAGCTCTAGTAAAGTAGTTCTTGGGGGCTCTTTTGCCTGTATTTGGCAATGTCTGGAGACATTTTTAGTTGTCATGCTATTTGCATTTAGTGGGTAGAGACCAGGGATGCTGCTAAACACTCTACAATGCACAAGACAGTCCCACAAATAGAGAATTTTGGGGCCTAAAATGTCATTGGTGCTGTGGTTGAGAAGCCCTGATCTAATATAAAGTCTTATATTTGTTAAAATGAGGAGCTTGAGAACAAAGGGTGTGCATGTTCTGGGGCCGCCCTGTGCCCCCTTGAGTAGTAAAAACGGTATGAGACAGTTGTGAGGAACTCTGGTAACTCACGTGAGGCCCCTGACAGTCAGTGTGACTAAAGAATTGTCCATGTTTGTGATTCTGTGGCCCTCAGTAGTGGTCTGTTGATGACATAAAGCAGGCCTTTTGGTGTTAGGGGCATGTTACTCATAACCCTGTGACTCAACTATTTTGATTATTTTTTCTGAATATCATAGATTTATTTTCTTTATTGAAGGTACCACAAATGAGGATGATGGGTTTTTTTTGTTTGTTTTATTTTCAAGTAGAAATTAGGAAAATGGTTCTCTAATTATGTAAGAGTTGATAGGCAGTTTTAGACACTTGGTTAAGGGTATATCCATTTGTGAGGGGTGGGAGGAAGCAGTAGTATGAGGAAATTTGGGACCCAAAGAAAAAACTACTGCCCTAGCCAGTGTTGGTCAGTGGTAGGAGCGTCATCCCTGGTCCCTAAGGGTTGTGGGTTCAATTCCCAGTTACAAACACAGTACTTGGGTTGTAGGTTCCCTCCCCGCCTCTGGTTGTGTCATGTGTGGGAGGCAACTAGTCGATGTGTCTCTCTCACATTGTTATTTCTTTCTCTTGCTTCTCCTCCCTTCCACTCTCTCTGAAAAGCAATGGAAAAATATTTTCTTGTGAGGATTAACAAATAAAAAATAAAAAAGCAAAAAGCCACTAAATGGCTAGTGCAATGAGCAGCCAGTATTTATTAAAGACTTAAATTTTTTTACAGAACAGCAACCATAATTTTATTTATTTATTTATTTATTTACTTATTTATTTATTTTATTAAAAAATATATTTTATTGATTTTTCACAGAGAGAAAGGGAGAGAGATAGTTAGAAACGTCGATGAGAGAGAATCAGAATCATCGACCAGCTGCCTCTTGCACACCCCCTACTGGGGATATGCCCGTAACCAAGGTACATGCCTTTGACCGGAATCGAACCCGGGACCCTTCAGTCCCCAAGCCAACGCTCTATCCATTGAGCCAAACCGGTGCTGGCAGCAACCATAATTTATTTTAAAAAATATTTTTATTAATTTCAGAGAGGAAGGGAGAGAGAGAGAAATATCAGTGGTGAGAGAGAATCGCTGATTGACTGCCTCTGCATTCCTCCTACTGGGGATGGAGCCTGCAACCCAGGCACGTGACCTGACTGGAATCGAACCATGACCTCCTGGCTCATAGGTCGATGCTCAACCACTGAGCCATACTGGCTGGGCCAGAACGGAACCATAATTTAAAGTGAATTGGGATCAGTCACATCTCCATCTTTTAGAACCAGGGATAAGTTATGAGTGAACATGGGGGTTCATATTGAAGAATACTAGTTAATTATTTCTTTTGTTTAGCAGAGACTGTTTCAGTTGATAGTCCTTATAAAGCAGTATATCTCTTTTTCTAAAACTGGAAGAATAAAGAGGAATATGTCTGTGATCTTATTAAAGGCCGTTTCTTTGCTGTTCATTCAGCTGTATTTTTTCTCTTTTGTAGTTATTCGTTGCTCCATGCATCAAGAAAAACATTTAGCAATGTCAAAGTCAGCATCTCTAAGCAGTGGACCCCGAGTGCTTTTAACAGATCGATTGAACCTGTGGAGGTAAGTAGAACAAAGTGCTGGGATGGATGTAAGGGAATCGTGCCTACCTCTGAATTCTTTGTAAGGTCTCTTATTTTATTTCATTTGCTTACTATTTCCTGTGGCATACAATCCAAATTCTTCTGTCTAATTTCTTAGCTTGCCCTGATTGTTTCTAAACAACGCAATTCAATACCATTCCAATCAGCTTATTTCTTACTGTTTTGAAATCACACAATTCTGGCTAGTCCATTTTTTTCATTAAGTTTCACAAGTACTATGCTTATTTCTGTCTTTGAGACTTTGCTCATGTTCTTTTGTAAGCTCATTTACCTTATTTCCATTTATCAAAATTGTGCTTTTCTCTTTGTGTCAAGATAAAATGTTGCTTTTTAAAAAATAGGGTGTTTTTTTCTTGCTTCTGCTGTTTTTTTTTTCCTAAACTGTGCACTCTGTGTATTATCGATACATAGTTTAATGTCTCAGTATTTGCATTCTCTCTGATTGGTTCATTTGTTTATTTGTATCTTGCTTAAGTTCAGAGAGAATGCAGCCCAGTTCCTTGTACTCACGTGGGCCAAGAACATTGTTTGATGACGGGGACAGAGATGCTGTCCTTTACGCACCCTACGTCAATACACAATTCCGTTCCCCTCAGTCTTTCCCACATTATTGGAGTTCTGCTTATGTGGAATTATAGCTACTTATTTATATTCTTAGCATGCTTTATTTCTTAAGAGTTATTTCCCTGATTTGGATCAATTTAAAGTTGACAGAGATCTAAAGGTTATACACTGCCCCCCAAATGTAAATGAGTTACTCAGGGAATTGCTTATTGTGGGTCTATCTTGCATAACCCAGTTTAGGCTCTGAGGACACAGAGTGAAAGCCTAGAGGACAAAATGGAGGCCTGTCCTCATGGAGCTGATGTTCTAGTGGAGCGACTCCGGAACAGTTTTCTGAGTTTAACTTGATAAGTTCCTGATAGGAACTTCTGTTACTCTTCTTTAAATGCATTTTTATTGATTTCAGAGAGGAAAAGAGAAAGAGAAACATCAGTGATGAGAAAGAACCATTGCTACTTCATAAGGCAGCTGATCAATGATTCTTTGCTACTTCATAACTGTAATTTTGCTGCTGTGAATGAATCGTAATATAAATATCTATAGCAGCCGAAACCGGTTTGGCTCAGTGGATAGAGCATCAGTCTGCAGACTGAGGGGTCCCGGGTTCGATTCCGGTCAAGGGCATGTACATTGGTTGCGTGCACTTCCCCAGTGGGGGTTGTGCAGGAAGCAGCTGGTCAATGTTTCTCTCTCATCGATGTTTCTAGCTCTCTATCCCTCTCCCTTCATCTCTGTAAAATATCAATAAAATATATTAAAAATAAATAAATAAATAAATAAATAAATAAATAAATATCTACAGCAGCGGAAAACAATTATAGTTATGAAATAGCAACAAAAATAATTTTACGGTTGGGGGTCACCACAACATGGGGAACTATATTAAAGGGTTTTGGCATTAGAAAGGTTGAGAACCACTGCTGTAAATGATAAATGACCGTTTACTGACTCATCACAAACCTTTAGATGGACTGGCCTCAAAGAGGTCACGTACTCTAACCTCCCAGCCAGGATGGTGTCTTTCTTTGTGGTTATTGAAGATGATCACCTAGCTTCTGTTGAAACCTGTAGGGAGAAGAACCTTCCTATTTTTCTGAGATGCACAATTATATATATATATATATATATATATATATATATATATATATATATATATATATATATATTATTTTTTTAAATATATTTTATTGATTTTTTACAGAGAGGAAGGGAGAGAGATAGAGAGCTAGAAACGTTGATGAGAGAGAAACATCGACTAGCTGCCTCTTGCACACCCCCTACTGGGGATGTGCCTGCAACCAATGTATATGCCCTTGACTGGAATCGAACCTGGGACCCCTCAGTCCCGCAGACTGATGCTCTACCACTGAGCCAAACCGGCTTCGGGGGGAGATATATATATATATATATATATATATATATATATATATATATATATATATATATCTTTTTTTTTTTTTATCAACTTTCATTATTAGGAAGTTCTTACTTCTATTGACAAAAATGTTCTGCTGTTTAGTTTTGAGTCATGTACATGAAGTCTGTCCCCACAGCATGAGGCCTGTTGAATATCTGATGAAAGCCTGTCTCCTTAAGGTCTTCTTTTTTAGGTAAAATATCCCTGGCTCCTTCCACTGTAGTTTAGTGACACTGAGCACTAAATGTGGTATTTCAGGTACAGTCTATAAACACAGAACAATAGCGTTTGGTTTAGGCACTACCTTTCTGGTTGTGCTGCCTAAGGCTGCCTTTGTGTTTTAGATAACTGGGTCGGGGGTCCCTAAGACCACTCCCAGGTTTGATGATTCGCTAGGAAGATTGACAGGACTTAGCATAGAGTTGTATTCAAAGCTGTGGTTCATTACGGGTGAGGGAATACAGAGCCAAGTCAGCAAAGGGGGAATAGGGGGGGGAAGCACATAGGGTGAGGCCTGGAGGAAACAGCACAGCCCTCTGAGCACCCTTTTCCAGGAGTCACACAGAGTGTGCTAAATTCTTCCAGCACAAGTTGTGACAACACAGGTGAAAAGTTGTGTGCCAGGGAAGCCCGATAGAGACAGGGTGCCCATGATGGTTGTTGGAGCTGGTCGTGGAGGCACTCTGCCTGGCACATACGAAAATCCCACACTCCCAGAAGGAAAGCAGGTGTTCCCCATAAAGCACATTGTTTGAACAGTAATCCAGTCTTGGCAGGGAATTATGGGAACCCTCTGGGGATCCAAGTTTCCAGGTGCCAGGCAAGCACCAGCAGCCTTGCAAGCAGGTCTGTTTAAGGATAGCAGTCTCAGGCGTGTTAACTCTTTCCTGCCAGGAACCATGTTACATTATTAACTTGTTTAGAACTGGCACTAACTTTTCTGCTTAGATATTTACTTACTTACTTGCTGCTAAGATGGGTTTCACTGTGGCGCTGTTTTAGAACCGTGGGTTAAGCAGTTTGGATGGGTTGGTTATGTAGAAGTCAGGTGCTGACTCAGCCAGGGGAGCTGTGTGCATGTGGAGGGCAGTGCTGATTGGATTTTGTCAAATGCTTTTTCTGCATCAATTGATATGATTATGTGATTTTTGTCCGTTCGTTCTTTAGACTTTCAAACCCAGGGATTTTTTCCTGAAGACTACGCTGGGAGTGCAGAGGTGGCACGTACCCTTCCCTCCTCCTCTGCTTGAGTCTGTAACACCTTTACTCCAGCTTCCCTTTGAGACTCTTTCTTATCTGAAGTGGAAAGGAACTTAGTGGCAGAAGTATATGTAAAATGAGTATACACTCTAAAAAATATTTTGTTTACATATATTGTTAAACATTTCTTAAATGCCTTAAATAGCATCATCAAAAAGTATTTATTATAGCTTTTGTTTTTATTTTTTTCCCCATAGATTTTTTTTAGAGGGAGTAGAAGTGAGGGAGGGGGAATTAAGAGGGGGAGAGAGAAAGAGAGAGAGAGAGAAACACACAGGCAGACATGGATGTGAGAGAGACACATTGGTTGGTTGCCTTCTTCTTTTTTTTTTTTTTTAAAATATATTTTATTGATTTTGTACAGAGAGGAAGGGAGAGAGATACAGAGTTAGAAACATTGATGAGAGAGAGTCATCGATCAGCTGCCTCTTGCACACCCCCTACTGGGGATATGCCCGCAACCAAGGTACATGCCCTTGACCGGAATCGAACCCGGGACCCTTCAGTCCCCAAGCCGACGCTCTATCCATTGAGCCAAACCGGTCCCGGCGGTTGGTTGCCTTCTGCATGTGACCTGACCAGGGCCAGGAATTGAACCTGCAACCCAGGTATGTGCCTTTGATGTGGAATCGAGCTGGAGATCCTTTGGTGGGAGGGCTGACACCCTAACTTCTGACCATACCAGCCAGGGCGTTTTTGTTTTTATGCATAGCTGTCTTATATGCTTTACAGAAAATTAAGCAGACAGAGCCTCTATACTTTGAGAATTTATAATGGACTCCACTGACATGGACAAACATTGGAAATACCAAGTGAAACTAGCATGAAATCTGTGTTTATAGATAATAAAGATGTCATGGCTAAATCTAATATTTGAGGACAACTTGACTGAAAATTGTAAACAAAAATTTGTTCTATTAAATTAAAAAGCTTTACCTCTTTAGACAGTACAGTCCTTCTTTGAGAATGGTGTAAGAGCCCTGGCCAGTGTGGCTCAGTTGGTTGGGCATCATCCTGTGCACTGAAAGGTCACTCACTGGTGGGATTCCTGGTCAGGGCACATGCCTGGATTTCTAGTTCAGTCTCCTGTAGGGGGCGTGCAAGAGGCAGCCAATTGATGTTTCTTTCATTCTTTCCCTTCCTCTCTCTGTAAAATCAATAAAGACATGTTTAAAAAAAAAAAAAAAGATAAAGAGAGAATAGCAAAAGAGATTCTAGAGTTCTCTTCAGGAGAAGGATGCGGGGTTCAGGATGTCCTCAACATTCCATCTCAATCACATTCACAGCTCCTGTCCCTCAGATTCTTACCTTTAACAGAGAACAAAGCCCTGAACTCAGGTCTCTTGAGTTCACCTTCTGTGCACCAGGAAGCTCTTTCATGTCAGTGGTTTCCCCACCTCCGTGCACAGCCCTTACTCTGTGACAAACATTCTCACCGTGACCTTTGAATGTGCCCACAATGTCATGCTTCCAGGAAGTGTCTCAACATGTAGCAATTATAGTGACTTAGCACAGCGCCTGCCCCCACAACACCAGAAAACCTTTCATACATATAGGCCAGCACGTTCACATGGTACTTGTACATGCTTGTAGGGCAGCTTGAATCACTGGAACATTTGAAGATCGAACTGGGTCTTCATTAAACATCGGACGATTCACTAAGTGCACTTGGACCATTTCTCTCTCACCTACTGGTTTAATCATCTTGTTCGGAGCTGTATTTATGGAACCTAAACTTTCTTCATTAGGCTTTTTCTGTTAACCTATTTTCTGACTCTTTTTGTTAGTCCTACTTTGTTGTTTTAATTTTTGGTTCTGTTTTGTTTACACTTGTTGAGTAGGCAAGCAGAAGTGTACTATTTCAACTGAATTCTGGCAGTGAAACAAACAAACAAAAAAGCTGTTTGCAGTCTGTCAGTTCCTGGGAAAGCCACGTCTTTGGGAGTTTGATGGCTTCCTCCAAGAGTAAAGAAAATCTTGAGTCTCGCAGCAGCTACTTGAGGCCTGGGTCTCTAGATCACCTGGCTGTGTGCCCAAGAGGGCTTAATCCTGGGTCCTATTGAGCCCAGATGGCACCAGGGATCAAAGATTGTGGAGAATGTGGCAAAATAACTAATTGGAGATATTTAGTGTCCCAATTGGCACGTTGAAATACTGATTGATCTAGGTGTGAGCTGGTTTCTTATCGATCATGAGAGCAGTGTGTGTTGTTAAAAAAAAAAAAAAAAAGAAAAGATGCCAGAAGCTACCCAGAAACTTTAGAATCACACTTTAAATATTTTCTTACAATTTCAGATTTTACTTTATGTTGAAGATGCATGTTTTTTAATTGTTCATTGTGATTTTTCTTTTTACTATTCTTAAGTCAAAATTTTTCTTCTTGCCCTGGCCAGTGTGGCTTAGTGGGTTGGAGCATCCTCCTATACACCAAAAGGTTGTGGGTTTGATTCCCACTCCCAGCACATGACTAGGTTTCAAGTGTGATCACTGGTCAGGCATGTAATAGAGGCAACTGATTGATGTTTCTCTATCTCTCTTTTCTTCCCTCCCTCCCTCTGTCTCTCCTTCTCCCCCTTATCTCCTTCCCCTCTCTAGAATCAGTAAACATATCCTTGGGTGAGGATTAAAATTTTTTTCCCTTCTTTAATAACTCATCTCAGAAATCATTTAGTCCAGCAGTTCTTGAACTTTTTGGTTATGTGGATTTATATTTATAGATATTTACTGATTTAGAAATTAAAACAAATTAAAAAATACATGATTAGGTTATTTTCAAATGAATTAATCTACAACATGATAACATGAATGACATTTAAAATATATATATATATTTTTATTGAATTCAAAGAGGAATGGAGAAGGAGGGAGAGATAGAAACATTAAATGATGAGAGAGAGTCATTGATTGGCTGCCTCCTTGTATGCCCCACAATGGGGATCGAGCCCGAAGCCCGGGTGGGCATGTGCCCTGACAAGTAATTGAATTATGACCTCCTGGTTCATAGGTTGATGCTCAGCCACTGAGCCATGCTGGCTTGGCAACATGAGTGACATTTTATGAAAATTGACTTATTCAAGACAAAAAAAATTCACTTAGTGAGGAGAGTGGCATTGATTGACAAATTCTTGCAAATCTCTTCCTGTCTGGCTGAATAGAATACAATGGATCTTCATGACTGCTTCTGAATTTCAAGTCTCTGAAGAGTTTGTCTTCCACAGACACAGGGGTGGAAAGGGGGGAAGTATTTTAACCGCCTTTTCAGTTAATTGTGGCTAGTTGTCTTTGATATTACACCAGAGTTTGACAAGTAGCAATTTCTTAAAGGGTAGTTGCAATGTGGAATCTGAAACTGTATTAATTAACTTTTTAATGACCTTACATTAACATCCATTTGCCTATCTTGTACTTTAAATGAATCTTGAAGTGACAAGCTGGTTTCATTCTTTTTTGAGGAAATATCTGCCAGATACTCAAATCTGCCAAATACAGTACTCAAATACTCACAACTGGGCACCGAGTCTGTCAGTCATTCTTTCAAGTAAAAATGACAGACCGGCTTGTCGCTCACACAGTTGCACAGTGCTTTCCTCCAAGACAGCCACCTGACTCCGGTTTGCAGGGTCTGTATGTGTATTTTCCACCTCATCACGCAGAATAATAAATAAGTATACTCAGGGGCCAGATTTAATACAATTAATAATTTTTACTATTTCATTAACAGCATTCTCAAGTGAAATTGACCTTTTTTTTTATTGTCGGTGTGGCAATAAAGAATACAGCAATTAATGTAGCACAGTTTTGTGTAACTGCTCAATTCATGCCAGAGCACAGCAGTTTTACCCACCACAGCTTTTGCGTCATCAGTGTTAAAGTTAAAGGGGAAAAAGAAAATAACTGCAGTGTGACTAGAGGGCTGGTGCACAGATTCATGCACTGATGGGGTCCTTCAGCCTGGCCTGATCCCTCTCAATTTCCGGGATCCTTCAGGGGATGTTGTACTGCTGGTTTTGGCCCGATCCCCATAGGCCAGGCTGAGGGGACCCACCGGTGTGTGAATCCATGCACCAGGCCTCTAGTATATATATATAATCTCTTTGGTTAATCTCTTCTTGCCTTCCCCCCACCTCATCCCTCTGAGATTCACCAGTCTATTCCATGGTTCCATGCCTGTGCGTTGAGCGTCTGCCCCCTGGTGGTCAGTGTGAGTCATAGCTACCAGTCAAATGTTGCTTAGGCTTTTATAATATATAGATAGTCTTCCCTTATCCATAGGGGATACATTTTAAGACCCCAGAGGATGCCCGAAACTCTGGATAGTACCAAACCCTGTATGTTCTATCCTTTTTCCTATACATATCGGAATACATTCCTCTAATAAAGATTAATTATAAATTAGGCACAATAACAGATGAACAATAACTAATTATAAAATAGAACAATTATAACAATATCCCATATAATAAAATCCTAATATGTAAATTGGTCCCTCAGGCAGTTGTTCAACTATTTGCTATGACACCCACTGACCACCAGGGGGCAGTGTGGAAAATGATGGGTGACATGGTGCCTGGACAAGGGGCTGTGACCTCTTGCCAGCTGCCTGGGGGCAGGGGTGATGGGGATGGAGGTGCGGTGGGAATGCGGGGTATCCACCGAGCTCACTCTCACCCCCTGCTAACCTACCCCAGGATGCCAGGGCTCACACACTAGGGAATCCCCTGCACTCAGGTACCGGTGAGGAGTCTGCCCTGTACCTGTATGGCCTCTTCCAGGTAAGCTGGACTGCAGGCGCTGGGACCACAGGGGCCGGTTGGACTCCCCATGGATTCGTGCAGGAGCCGGTCTATGAGGCCAGCCAGAGAGAGCTTGCTGCCCGCCAGCTTCTGTGCAGTGCTGCTGGGTGGCCCAGAGGCCCACACTGTGCCCTGGCCTGTGGCGTCTAGCTGTGCTTACCATGTCTCCACGAAGTGACTTGGGCGCCGTGATTTAGGCAGAGGGAGGTGTGTGGGGACTCATGGGCTCAGGTCCTGCCCAGGGCCCTTCCACACCAGATGCTTGAGCTTCGATTGCTGGTCTGGCCTAGCCACAGCACCTGTGCACGAATTTTGTACACTGGGCCTCTAGTATTGTAATAAAAGTTATGTGAATGTAGACCCTCTTTTTCTTTCCCTTTCTTCCACTCTCCTGTTCTCGAATGTGCATATTCTCCCTCTCCCCCTCAATATACTGAAATATTTTGGAGCTTGGTTGATCTCAGGTAACTGGAAAGCAAAACCTTGGATAAGGGGGGCTCCTGTATTGAGTGAATAGTTTTGACCGAGAGTAAGGGGACGGGCTACTGTATTATGCAATTAGTTTGACTTTGTGTGCTCTTTTCAGCATCACCAGGTCTGAGAGTGGGGGAGGCTGTACGCGAAGGTGCCTTGAGGGATATGAAGCACTGGCAGACAGCAGCGGGACTGACCTGCTCTTGTTGTTCCTGTAGATCTGGAGCAGCAACCACCTGTTCCCCAGTGCGGAGGAGGCCACTCTTTTCCTCGGAACCCTGGATACGATTTTTCTCTTCTCCTATGCCGTGGTAAGTTTTAGAATTCCAGGATTTTAAAGAAAGATATAAAAGAAATGACTGCAAGTTTTATGAAGGTCATAAGACATTTTGAATTTGCTGGCTGAGGAGTGTTCAGAAGTTTATATATTTTGTGTCTTTCTCATCCATTCATTCTTTTGACAAATTGAGCACCTAGCATGTGCCAGGGACTGTTCCGGTCAATGAGAATTCATCAGTGGACAACATAGGGAAAACCTCCCATTATAAAGCTTCTTTCTTGGAGTGGGGGCTAAGAGAGACAAACAGTCACAAAACGCTACAGGGAAGTAAATTATAAATTGTATTTAAAGTTGGTAAGTGCTGTGGAGGAAAATAAAGCCTGGAGAGGGGACTAGATGGCCCAGGATGGGATAACTGAAGCAGGTGGCTGGGGAAGACCTCCCAGAGAAGGGTTATTTGAACAAAGACCTGACGTGGATATGCCCACAACCAAGGTACATGCCCTTGACCGGAATCGAACCTGGGTCCCTTCAGTCCCCAAGCCAATGCTCTATCCTTTGAGCCAAACCGGTTTCGGCAGGAGGCACAAATTTCAGAGTCCCTTGTGTGTATGTGATTTTTTAAATTATGAGACTGAGTGAAATCATCAAGAGAATTGGTGAGACCTTGGCCTGTGTGACTCAGCTGGTTGAGCATTGTCTCATGCGCTGAAGGCTGCCAGTTCAATTCCTGCTCAGGCCACATGCCCAGGGTTGTGGGCTCAGTTTCTAGTAGGGGGTGTGCAGGAGGCAACTGATTGATGTTTCACTGTCACATCGATGTTTCTCTCCCTCCCTTCCCCGTTCTCTGCCTCAAAATCAAATTTAAAAATCTTAAAAAGAAAAAAAGAGAGATAGTTGGTAAAGATAAAGAAGTGTGAAGACTGAGCCATGGGATCTCCAGCATTTAGATCTTGGGTCATATAAGGCCTTGCCAAGGCATTAGGGGCGAGTTAATTAAATGTTTGACCAAATATAGCAGGCTAATTAAAAAAAAATTTAATTCTGACATTCTTTAAAAAAATTTTTTTTTAATTGATTTCAGAGAGGAAAGGGGAGGGAGGGAGGGAGGGAGGGAGAGAGAGAGAGAGAGAGAGATATTAATGATGAGAGAGAATCATTGATTCGCTGCCTTCTGCATGTCCTACACTGGGGATCGAGCCCGCAACCTGGGCATGTGCCCTTGACCACAATCAAACTTCAGACCCTTTAGTCCCCAGGATGGTTCTCTATCCACTGAGCCAAACTTGCCAGGGCTAGCAGGCTAATTTTTAAGTTGATAATTTATGGCCCTTGAACAATGTTGTAAATATCCTTGGCAGAAAGAAGGTTCCCCACCCCTGAAGTGAGGTAGGGAAGGAATGGGCAAGGAGGAATGGGCAAGGAGGCTGAGACAGATCTGTGGGGAACAGGAGTACCGAGAGAGGGTGGAGTCCCAGGAGCCATCCAGGGTGGCAGGGGCTGTCTGAGGTCCTCGGATTGGGCAGCCAGGGTCGTAGGGAATGTCAGTGGTGGCTGCCAAGTTAGAGCTGTGGGGCCAGGGGTGGCAACAGCTGGCACTGGGCACTTGGGGGCAGTCTGACCTTTTCTCCCAGCATCTTTTTTCCTCTCTTGAAAATGTGTCCAGTGATGTGAAATACTGGGTGAAAGTCCCAAAGTAATCTCAATGTGTATTTGGGTAATTATTAGAATATCTTCAAAGAGGACAGTTATAAAATTGGAACAGAAATTAGATCATGTAGCCTAGCTCCTCACCCTGGGCATATATGGTCATTCCGAGTGAGGTTTCTATATGAGCCTTTTATGAAGTGTTTATTTTATTTTATTAAAGATTTAAAAATGGATTCTTAGAAAGGAAGGGAGAAGGGGGAGAGAGAGAGAAAGAAGCATCGATGTGAGAGCAAAACATCTGTCGGTCAGCTGCATCCTGGGCATGTGCCTTGTCTAGAATCAAGGTCCCCCACCCCAGGCATGTGCACCAACCTCTCAGGGAACCAGTAACCCTGAGTGCACAAGACTACGCCCAACCACACCAGCCAAGGCCTTTTATGAAGTATTTTAAGAATCAATGGAGTCTAGTGGGAAAACCAGTTCTACCACTATCAACTAGCTGTGTTAAACTTGGTTTCACACTGGCGTTTAACTTTTTTTCTTTTTTAAATCCTCACCTGAAGATAAGTTTGTTTATTGATTTTTAGAGAGAGGAGGGAAAAGGTGAGAGAGCTGGAGAGAGAAACATCAATTTGAGAGAGAAATATCAATCGGTTGCCTCCTGTACACATCTTGACCGGGAATTGAATCTGGAACCTTTCGGTAGATGGGATGATGCTCCAACTAACTGAGCCACCTGGCCAGGGTTAACCTTTTTGATATGTAGTTTCCTCATCTGTAGAGTTGTGCTAGTACCTGTCTCTAGGGTAAAATAGACTTAGGAGGTAAAAGGTAAGAGTCATGGAAAATTGATGATTGTGTTTCTTCCATTGAGCTGTTTTCTTCTGTAACTTCCAGGTTTTGTCCAGGCAGGTGGAGTAGCACAGAATAAATTGATTCCCTAATCTAAAACATAACAGAAATTTTTTTCATCCCCATTATTCTCTATAGCATAAGACCACGTGATGAGTGGCAGCTGTAGAACATAGAATCTTCTCCAGTGTTTGCAGGTGCCTCTTTCAAGTTAGTGAAAGCTTGTCCATAAGGAGGGAGAAACATTTATTATGGTATTTGTCATCTATATTTTCTCTAATACAGATGGTCAGTTTATCAGAAACACTTGTATCAAAATTTAGGTTTTTAGCCGAAACTGGTTTGGCTCAGTGGATAGAGCGTTGGCCTGTGGACTGAAGGGTCCGGGGTTCAGTTCTGGTCAAGGGCATGTACCTTGGTTGCGGGCACATCCCCAGTGGGGGGTGTGCGGGAGGCAGCTGATCGATGTTTCTCTCATCAATGTTTCTAACTCTCTAACCCTCTCTCTTCCTCTCTGTAAAATATCAATAAAATATATTTTAAAAAATTTAGGTTTTTATAGGGACTTTTATTCATTTTTACATCTTTATAGAAGAAATCTAAAGTGTGTTGCCCTTAGCTCTTTAGTTTGCTTGCTGCTATGCTCTGAGCATTTTAACTTCTGCTACTCCGTGGCAGGAGAGCAGAAGGCAGAACATTTGTACCTCTGATCAACTAATTATTGCCTCTGCCTCCCTGGCTCCTGGCCTGGTGGTGTCATGAAACCCCAGGGTCACATTAAAGAGGCAGCACCTGTGCTTCAGAAGCTTCTGCTCTGCGGGGAGTGTAGCACACCTTCCTTCAGAAAGCAGATGGCCGAGAGAAGTGCTTTTGGGAGAGCTGATAACGGGTGGTTAGGAGTTAACCGCTCCTGGAAAGTGAAATGGAGTTGTCTGCTTGTGTTGTTGGAAGAATGTTTGTTTGTTTGTTTTTTTACAGTCTCCTTTTAGGCAGTTAGCAGATGGGATCAAGTAGAAAACACGTTTTGCACTGAATTACGATGTCCCAGTGCATGGGGTGTGCAGAAGCTGTGTCATTTCATGAAACATTTATGAAACTGTTATAGACAGCTCACCTGGGCATGAGAATGAGATTTAATTTGAAGTAATTCCAGTGTATTGCTTGCCTCATTTGCTTTGCAATGTCTCTTTCCCCCCCACCCCCCTTTTTTTTTCTTCAGGCTGTGCTGTCATTTAGGGCTGAAAAATAAAATGTTTTGTTTTTCAGGGCCTTTTCATCAGCGGTATTGTTGGGGATCGGCTTAATTTACGATACGTTCTATCGTTTGGCATGTGCTCTTCTGCATTAGTGGTAAGTTTGAACGTTTTTTAAAAAATGATGAGGATGATAATTATGGCCAGATTCCTAGGATCCAAGCAATCCCCCTGCTTCTGTATGTAGAAGAGAATAAGTTAATCTTCAGTTGTTGAATCCCTTGCCTGCCTTTTCAGTTCGAGGAGTCTTTTATAAGTATGATTGGGGCCACGCCCCTTCCCTGACTCTCATCCACCAAAGTCAGTGCATAAAGGCCCGCCGTTCAGTGCTGCCCAGGACCTGGTCCCAGCCGCCTGCAGTCGCATCTGTCCCTGTGCTTCGCTGCTCTGCCTGGTCAGACTCCTTTCCTTGGCCCTGACATGCCCGCTGCTTTCTGCCTCACGCCTGTTGTCCCTGCTCTTCTGCCTCGCCTGGGTGGCCCTCTGTTTAGCTCTCCAGTCTCACTCAACGTCTCCGGCAAGTCACTGGCTAAGTGATACTCCTTCATAATGCCTTACTTTACTAACACCGCTCCCTCCCCCCCAGAAGTCACTGTTCCTCCTCGGAGCTCCCTGCCTGCGTGTCTCTGAAGGCATGGAGATTGTCTACTGTGTAGCCTGCTTGGTCCGTGTCAGTCCTGCTTTCCCTGTGAGGGGGAGCCCAGTGGTTAAAATCACAGACTCTTGGAGACGGCAGTGCCTGTTTTCGGTCCCTCCTCTGCAATGTCCTGGCTGTGATTTCTCTGGGCTTCAGCTTCCTCACGTGAATCCCTCTGCCTAGGGCTGGAGGGGGGTTAGACGAGTCGCTGTGTGTGAGGCGTTGGGAACAGTGCCTGGCGCAGTACCTGGGCAAGGTCCCTGTGAGCCATCTTGATTTGCTTACAAGGGTCTGGGGAGAAATTTTTATTGATTGAATATAGGCATGGAGTTTAGTTTATTATTGTTTTTCAAGGTCTGCCATTTGTGTAAAGGGAAAAATGTATTTTCCTTGGAAATTTTAGAGAGTGAACCATTTTATTTATTTACAAGTTGCTCACCACACATATGTACATACTATTTCAAAACCGGTTTTAAAAAAATTGAAGTGTGTACATATTCTCACCCTTTTTAGTGCATAGTGCTGAATTTTGACCAGCGAGTACATTAGTAGTCATGTAACTGCCGTCTCTCCTCCTTCCCCTTGTCTCTGACCATCGCTGACCATTTTCCTGTCCTTAGAGTTTTGCTCATTTCAGAATGCCATGTAACTGGCATCATACATTATTCTATGTACCCATGCCAGGTATTCCCAAAAGAGACTTCAACTGCAAATAAAATGTCCACTTGAGCAAAATGCCTGGGAAAAAAGCAGAGACATGAATGCTACTAAATGACTGAGCCTATCAAGAGTTACTCAGATTCACTTAGTAGCGATACTAGTAGTGATAGGTGGCGCTTCCCAGTCCCCACAACAGTCTTCCACAAGCACAGCTTGAGGAAATGGAAGCACAGGTGACCCTTGAACAACATGGGTTTGAACTGCGTGGGCCCACTGGTATGGGAATTTTTTAAAAAAAAATATGTTTTATTGATTTGTTACCGAGAGAAAGGGAGAGAGATAGAGAGTTAGAAACATCGATGAGTGAGAGCTACATCGATCAGCTGCCTTCTGCACCCTCTACCCCCCCACCGGGGATGTGCCCATAACCAAGGTACATGCCCTTGACTGGAATCAAACCCGGGACCTTTCAGTCCGCAGGCTGACACTCTATCCACTGAGCCAAACTGGTTTCGGCAAATTTTTTTCTTTTTTAAAAAAAATATATTTTTATTGATTTCAGAGAGAAAGGGAAAGGGAGAGGGAGATAGAAACATCAATGATGAGAGAGAATCATTAATTGGCTGCTTCCTGCATGCCCTTCAAAGGGGACTGAGCCTGAAACTGGGGCATGTGCCCTTGACTAGAATCGAACCTGGGACCCTTTAGACTTCAGGCTGATGCTCTATCCAATGAGCCAAAACAGTCAGGGCAATTTTTTTTTTTTTTTTTTAGTTTAATACCATTTAATAATGATGATATACAATCTTTTTATAAAATAAATTTGACAATCTTCCCAGGGTTTGAATTTTAAGAAGCTGTTTTGACATAGAATTGGCTTTTGGTCATTCTAATAGGCTCTGGAATGCCTCAAGGATTTGTAAGGGCAATTTTTTTCAATAGATACTATAAATGTATTTTCTCCTCTTGCAATTTTCTTTCCCCCCCAAAAAAATATGTTTTTATGTATTTTTATATATTCAGAGAGGAAGGGAGAAGAGGAAAGAGAGAGAAACATCAATGATGAGAGAGAATCAGTGATTGGCTGGCTCCAGTACCCCCATCCTGGGAATTGAGCCTGTAACCTGGCCCCAACTGGGAATTGTACCATGACCTCCTGGTTCATAGGTTGATGCTCAACCACCAAGCCATGCCTGCTGGACTCTTCTTCTGATTTTCTTAATAACATTTTCTCTAGCTTATTTATTTTAAGAATACAGCCTATAATACATAAACACACAAAATATGTATTAGTCGACTGTTCAGTATATTGATAAGGCTTCCTGTCAACAGAAGGCTATTAGAAGTTAAGTTTTGGGGAAGTGAAAGTTAAACATGGACTTGTGACTGCTTGGGGGTCAGCAGCCCTGGCCTCCATGTTCAAGGGTCCACTCTCATGTGCCATCCCATCAGGTATCCTCCTGTGGGTTTTGCCTTCCTTTCCCTCCTTTGAAACTCAGTGATCTACCTACAAAAGGAGGTCAAACAATGAGGCCTTAACTTTTTAGAGTTGAATTTTCCAGTTGTAGGGATGACCACTAATGAGTTTTATGCCTTTCGGTTCTTTGCCTCTTCGGTTGGCAGTGGTTTGGTGGTGTGCCACTCACTCAGTGCTGCTTTGAGCAGGAGCATCCCAAGAGTCGGCCCCATGTCTTGTAGGTTGAGACATTGAATGTCTCCTTCCTCTAGTCTCTTCCCGTAGAAACACAGTGTGCTTGGCAGTTGCGTGTACTCCAGGTGTCCACATGGATGATACATGTCCCTCTTTCTTCCCTCTTCTCCAAGGTGTTTGTCTTTGGCACTGTCACAGAATGGCTGCATTTCTACAACAAGTGGCTGTACTGCTGCCTGTGGATTGTGAATGGCCTGCTGCAGTCCACAGGGTGGCCCTGTGTGGTTGCTGTCATGGGCAACTGGTTTGGGAAAGCTGGGTATGCCGCCTCCTTCCTCTTTAATTTTTCCTTTTAAGTGGTTTTATTACCGGATTATTCACTTGTCAATTAACTCGGTCCCTTCGTTTAGAAAGTTAGAATCATTCAGGGAGCGGTTTCATGTCAAAGTGTATTGGAAATCGTGTCGACCTCAGTGACGATCCATGTACCCCTGCCCATCACGTCCACAGCGCTCTCTTGGCCGTAGTAAGATTTTGAGTGCGGCTAAGGCAGCATGTCTCGTTTTTTCTTTAATCTTCCCTTGAGAGAGCATAAATATCTCAGGTGCAGTCCCATCAGGATCTTCCTGTGGGTTTGCCTTCCTTTCCCTTTTTTGAGACTTAGTGTTCTTCGTTAGCCTTCTTCCATTAAATATAAGGAAACCGAGGCCAAAGAGGTCCATGGGACTTGCCTAAAGTCACGTAGCAAAGGTTCTAATAAGATGCACTGGAGAATGCCAAACTTGTGTGAATTTTCCCCTACACCTTTAAGTAATTATTAGATTGTATTTGAGTTTGTGTGTGTGGTGTGGGCCAAGGATGTGAGGATAGGCACCCGCTAAAGTATCTTCTAGGCCACCAGGAAGAAGAGCCACGCTTAGCTTATATGATGGAAATAAGTTCAGACATCCCAAGACTTGGCTTTGTTGTATGCCATTCTATGTGACACTCCAATTTCAGGAAATTATTAATTTGAATTCCTATAATTTTTATAGGTAAGTATTTGTGTAGTGAGATACATATTTATCTTACCGGTGGCTCTATCTTTTCTGGTTGTTTATACTTTTATGTCAGGGCCAGTTGTGCACCAGACATTGTCCACCAGCTCAGTGACCTGCGCATGCTCCGACCTGGCCTCTCCGTTTCCAGCTTCCCCGGTTTCACAGTGGGGGATGCTTGCTGGCTGTAACGTTGTGGAAGTTCACCTATAAAATGTCTGTGGTCAGAATAAGCACCACTTAATGAGAATGCTCTGATTATATTTCAGAGTGCTGGTAATTTCTGTTTCTAACTAGCATCACAGGTTTAACAGAATTGATTTTGAGAAGCTCTTGTTCCTCCTGTCAGACTTTCATTTTCTTTTGGAGTGGATGATGCTGTCTGTTCATGTGCTATTTTTTTTTTTTTTTTTAAAGAAAAATCTCAAAATATTTATTTATTTATTTATTTATTTATTTTTTAAAATCAATCTTTATTGTTCATATTATTACAAAGGTTCCTCATTTCTTCCCCCCTCCACCAGGTTCCCACCCCACCATCTGCCCCCTCCCCATCCCCCATTGTCCTCATCCATAGGTGCAGTTTATGTTCAGTCTCTTCTTCCCTCAATTTCCCCAATAGTAAATCCCTTTTCAGATAGTAAATCAGTTACTTAGCATTTTCTCATATCAATAATACCTCCACATGCCCAATGATACACTTCACACAAAAAACATTTCCCAATAGGTCCACCAGCCTCATCCAGGCCCCACCCAAGGCACTCACAGATCAACACCCCAGTCCTAAACTAACTCAACACATCCAGATCTAAGCCTTCATCACTTGATTCAGCAGACCTTCAAGTTCCCACGAAAGTTTCCAGCCATGTCTGAGAAGCAGCTGTAGGGCAGGGGCAGGCAAGGAGCGAGCTGTTCTGGGCCTGGCTGCTCAGGGCCTGGCCTCTGTTGCTCTGGTTCATTCCACAACCAGCTGCTCCGGGTCTGGTCACTGCCGCTCCCGACCTAGTTGCTCTGGACTTGGCTGCTGCTGCTCCGGGCCTGGCCGCTCCCAGCCTGGCAGCCACTGCTCCGGGCCTGGCTGCACCAGCCCCCTCTGCTCCCCCGGGCCTGGCCGCTCCCAGCCTGGCAGCCGCTGCTCCGGGCCTGGCCACACCAGCCCCGGCTGCTCCCCCGGGCCTGGCCGCTCCCAGCCTGGCAGCCGCTGCTCCGGGCCTGGCCGCCATGTGCTATTTTTTGTTATTAAGATTTTTAAGGTAATTTTTTTTCATTTATGATTTTTGAAAATTATACAGATGCTACTTGTTTATTGTAGACAGACTGGATAATATAAATGAGCAAAGAGAAATAAAAACAAAGCCACTTGAAATTCTATCAACTAAAGATAATTACTTTGACATCTATCAATTTGAGGTAATTTTTATCTGAGTTTTTATAAATTGGATGACACTGGGTGTTTGATAGCAGTGACTGGGCAGGCTGATAATTTCCTTACTTTTTTTTTTGGATCAGTTACAAAGAAACAAAAATTCAAGCAAGTCGTCACAGTTTCTTTTTGAAAGTAAGATCATTTGTTTTTAAACAAGTAACATTAGTGAAATTGACAGTGCACTGCTTGAGACACAGTGACTTTTTCTATGAAACATAACAAGAAACCACAAGGTGCTAATAAGACTATGACAACCTAAAATCACAGTTATTTTCAGCCAGCTTTTTGTAAAAGCATGTCTTTGGACAGCAGTTTGTCTGGCCTTCTGACTCTTTCCTCCAGAACACTCTTGACAGATCTTAATATTTAAGAGGATTGGGTATTTTAGCATGAGGGAGGATCACTTGATTCAAGTTATTTCCAAAGGAAAAAAGTTGGGGCTCAACAGAATGCAGTGATCTATGGAGGCGATTGGATGTGTCAGGCCCTTTCTGGTTGTCAGGGTGAGAGTTAGTCACACACATTCATGTGCAGCACCGAGCCCGCTCCTGTACATCACTACCCTCAGTCCTTGCAGAGCACAGGATCTCGCAGGTGAGAACACTGAGCCTCTGCTGTAACTTACTAACAGCTGGAGGTAGCAGCCTCCTACTTGTGAACAGCCTTTATTTTTCACAGTGTGGTTTCCTGTTCATGAGATGAGATTATAAAAATGTTTAAGGCGTTAGATAACCTAATATAGTGGGTTATTAATATGTATCAAATAGATAAAATGCAAATGTGACCTTTTTAAAAAATGAACTTTTTAATCTTTTTTTCCCCACCAGCCTTTCTGCCAGTGGCTATGTTCAGAGTTAATTCGTTTTTCTCCAAGACGTGTGTAAAAGTTAGTTTCCTTCTACCAGACTTTTCCTCTCCCCATCCATCTTTTAGAAATGGCTTTATTGAGTTGTACAATAAGTTGCATGTGTTTAAAATGTATTATTTGATGAGTTTTGGCAAGAATACACCCATAAAACCATCATCACAGTTTAAATAATGGACAGTCCACCCCCTCCCCCCAAAAGTTTCCTTGTGCTCTTTGGTAATTCCTCCTCCCCAAACCCCACCTCCCACCCCCCACTGCCATCTCCAGGCAACTACTGATCTGTTTTCTGTCACTAGGTTAATTAGGATTTTCTAAAATTGTGTATAAATGGAGTCACACACTGTGTACTCTTTCTTGTCTTCCTTCACTCACAATAATTAATTTGAGATTCATTCGTGTTGCATATATTGATAGTCCATTCCTTTTCATAGCTGAATAGTAATCCATTGTACCACAGTTTGGTGATCTGTTCACCTGCTGATGGTTTTTGGCTATCATAAATAAAGCCACTGTGAACATTTGTGTACAAATTCTTGTATGGACAGATGCTTTCATTTCCCTTGGATAAATACCTTGAATAGATTGGCTGAATCATACGATAGTTATTTTTATAAATTTTATTGATTTTTTTACAGAGAGGAAAAAAGAGGGATAGAGAGTTAGACACATCAATGAGAGAGAAACATTGATCAGCTGTCTCATACTCACCCCCTTCTGGAGATGTGCCCGCAGCCAAGTACATGTCCTTGATTGGAATTGAACCTTGGACCCTTGAATCCGCAGGCTGACACTCTATCCACTGAGCCAAACCAGTGAGGGCACGATAGGTATTTTATACCTTTTTAAGAAATTGGTAGTCTCTTCCATATGGTTGTACTATTTTACATTTCTACCAGCAGAGTGTAAAGTGTTCTAGTTACTGTATATCTTTGCCAACACTTGGTATGCTCAGTCTTTTTTATTTTAGCTATTATGTAGCTGAATAGTGATGCCTCATTATGGTTTTAATTTGCATTTCCCTAATCTCTGATGTTGAGCATCTTTATATATATATATCCACTAGGAGAGGAACAAAGAAGGAGAGAGAGAAAGAGAGAAACATCAATGATGAGAGAAAATCATCGATTGGCTGCCTCCTGCACATCCCCTACTGGAGATTGAGTCTGCAGCCTGGGCATGTGCCCTTGACTGGGATTGAACCTGGGACCTTTCAGTCTGCAGGCCTACACTTTATCTGCTGAGCCAAACCAGCTAGGGCTGTTGAGCATCTTTTTATGTGCTATTTACATAATATTTTTTATATGTGAAGTATCTATTACAATCTTTTGTCCCTTCTCAAATTTTTTTTGAGATGATTGAAGATTCATACACTTTAACATTTTATTGCATTGTTTTGTTTTCATATTATTGAGTTTGTGGGTTCTTTATATGTCAGATACAAATCTTATCCGTAATATATAAGATTTTCTCTTCCAGTCTGTAGCTTGTATTTTATATATATATATATATATATATATATATATATATATATATATATATATATATATATATATTTTATAATATATTTTATTGATTTTTTACAGAGAGGAAGAGAAAGGGATAGAGAGTTAGAAACATTTATGAGAGAAAATCATCGATCAGCTGCCTCTTGCACACCCCCTACTGGAGATGTGCCCGCAGCCAAGGTACATGCCCTTGACTAGAATCAAACCTGGGACCTTTCAGTCTGCAGGCTGACGCTCTATCCACTGAGCCAAACAGGTTTTGGCTGTAGCTTGTCTTTTTGAAATTTCTGAATAGTTTCTTTCAATGAGCCCCAAAGTTTATTATATTAAGCTTTAGTATCATAAAGTCACAGAGTTGAAAGAGATGTGATGTTTTGTCATGTGCGTGTACTTACAAAAATTTAAAAATAGATTGTTGATTTTCTGTGTGTGAACCTTCTTTGTTTTGGCAATTTTGTATTTGAACCTTGAATCAAATCCTTTCTTATTCTGTGTTCTGCTGTCTCCATCTTAGCCGAGGCGTTGTTTTTGGTCTCTGGAGTGCCTGTGCTTCAGTGGGCAACATTTTGGGAGCATGCCTGGCCTCTTCTGTTCTGCAGTATGGTTATGAGGTAGGTATTTCTTTCTAGCTTTTTCTCAAGGAAATAAATGTGTTTTTTTTTTTTGTGTGTGTGTGTGTGTTTTTTTTTTTAGGAAATAATACCGTGGCCATTTAAAACCGCATTGAGCTTTGTCTGGGTAAGACAAGGCATGTGATAAAAGTGAACAAATTTGCACAGCCAGAGTGGCTCAGTGGTTGAATGTGGGCACATGCCTCGTTTGTGGGCTGAATCCCCGATAGGGGGTTTGCAGGAGGCAGTTGATCAATGATTCTCTCTCGTCACTGATGGTTTTTATCCCTTTCTCCCTCTCCCTTCCTCTCTGAAACCAATAAAAATATATTATAAAAAATTATAAAAAGAAAACTTGACAAATGGAAACATATAGCAGCATTATTCCTGAAGAATACCCAAGTCTAAAGACATATAATCAGGAAAAGGTATTTGCAACTCATTAAAGATAAAGAGCCGATCTTCCCAATATAAAAAACCACCTGCAGATTGGTAAGAAAAAGACCGACAACACAGAAAAAAAGGTAAAGGATTTGAACGTCTCGTTGGTAAAAAGGGAATAGGAACACCTTATAAACATATGAAAAGAAATTCCACTTCACTTACAACTTTATTTCATTAATATTAATTAAGCTCCTCTAAGGGCTTCAAGGCAGTAGAGAATGGACATTGGCCTAAAACTCTTTGCCCTTTGTGGAGCTAGGTGGTAGTCTGAGGAGAAATGCAAATTAAAGAAACTGCACTGAATGTTTATTAGGTTGGCAAATTCCAAAAGTGTAATAATACGTTGTGTTTATGAGGATGTGGAAAAACAGGCATTGCAGTTGGCAAACTGAACAACACCCCTTGGGGTCAGTATGGGGCAGTCTGTCAAAGCTGCGGCTGCTCTGCCCGAGGAGGTGCTCTCCAGCCCCCGGAATGAACCCCGCAGGTAAATATGCTTCAGCAGGTGCAGGGATATACGACAAGGTTACTTACTTCAGTGTTGTGTGTCACAGCAAAACGTTGGTACCGAATGTCAACCAAAAGGGAAATAGTTACCCTGGGATACACCTGTTCAGTGGAATGCCGTGCAGCTGTGAAATAGGGTTGCAAAGCTCTCTCTGTGCCGATAGGGAACTATCTAAGTGGTGTATATTAAGTGAAAAAAGCAGGGATGCTAAACTGTGTGTATTTAAAAAAAAAAAAAAATATATATATATATATATATGTGTATATATATATATATATATATTATTGATTTTTTACAGGGGGGAAGGGAAAGAGATAGAGAGCTAGAAATGTCAATGAGAGAGAAACATTGACCAGCTGCCTCCTGCACCCCCACCCCCAACCCCCACCGGGGATGTGCCCGCAACCAATGTACATGCCCTTGACCAGAATCGAACCCGGGACCTTTCAGTCCACAGACCAACGCTCTTTTCGGCGAAACTGTGTGTATTGAATGACGCCATTTGTGTAAAATGGAGGAAGAAGTCATGAGTACATATTTGTATTGGCTTGTATGTTTCTAAAGCAATCTCCAGAAAGTAAAAATACAGTAACAATTATGGTTATATAATGGGAAAATGAGGATTGAGTGGACGTGAGAAAGGGTGTGGGGAGAGTTTTTACATATTTTTGTTGCTTAAATCATGTAAATGTGTTGTCTATTCAGAAACCTAAATAATTAAAAGTAGGTAAGTTGCTTTTTTATTTATTTTTATTTTTTTCTCTTTTTATTTTTTATTGGTTTCAGAGAGTCAGGAAGTGGGGGAGAGAGCTAGAAACATCGATGAGAGAGGATCACACTGGGGATGGAGCCCACAACCTGGGCATGTGCCTTGACTGGGAGTTGAACTGTGACTGGTTCATAGGTCAATGCTCAACCACTGAGCCATGCCAGCCGAGCCCAAATCAGTTTTATATTCCTGTTACCTCTCAGCAAAAGCCCTCTGCCTCAACTGTGAGGATGGTTTTCCATCTCACTCCCATCCTCTGCCTTTGCCTTGGTTGTGCCCAGAAAGATGGTCAATTGTTTTGATCTTCAGCCTTTCCTTAACACATTGTGCAGCTACTTCAGCCTCGTAAGTGGTTTCCTTCTTCTAAATTCTTGTACATGGTTTTTTATTAGTATTTGGCTTCCTCATTTATTCAGCTTCATGCTGCCTTATATTATTGTTTTGTTTATTGTTTGATCCCCTAACTGGGTAGACTATCATCGATGGCAGATATGTCTCTTTTGGGAGGCTGTGCAATGCAAAGAATAAGATTTTTGGAGTTAGTCCTGATTCACAATCCTATCACTCAATGTTCAGGGGACTTTAATTATCCTCTCTGAGCCTCATAGAGTTATTGGGAAAATGAAAGAGAAAACACAAGTAAATCATAGCTCAGTGCCTGCACAGACTAAGCATTCAGCACTCATTTTCTTCCCAGTGTCCCATCCTTCCCGTCCCATTCCTTCCCCCCACACCTCTCACCTTGCACACGTCTCTGATGAATGTCCAGACACGTAAGGAGCATCTGTCCTCTTTCCTTTAGTACGCCTTCCTGGTGACGGCAGCTGTGCAGTTTGCTGGTGGGATCGTCATCCTCTTTGGACTCCTGGTGTCACCTGAAGAAATTGGTGAGGACAAGCTGTCGTTTCTGTTACTTTTATAGGTGAAGAGATATCTGAGGCCAGGACAGTTAGTCTCTTTTTTTCCTAGAACTGTGAGCTCCTTTCAGTGGGTTAAAGGAGCAGCATTGCTGTTGTGTCTTGGTCCAGCTAAGCCCACCATCGCTGCACCTGTTTGAGGGGAGTGAGGCTCACCTATTATAGATATAGGGAACACTCATTTGCAAATGAGTTTTATAATTGAGACACTGGTTAGAAGTTAGCATGGATGTGTTTCTAATTTCACTTCTTTCTTTCACAGATTTCTTTCATAAAAATAATTTAGTGTGATATTTACCTCTTGTTAAATACAGAATTTGTATAAGTAAAATCACAGAAGCAAACACAGGTACGATTCTATCCTTTGAATATTAGTAAAGAGACACATCAGCTTAATAGTATGTAATTGACTTCTTTTTGTATATGAGAGAGCTAGCCTGATTTACTTGAGAACACATTGCTTTGAAGCCAGATATAGTAGAATTAGAATCCAAGGTTTGTTGTGATTTTGATCTTAATTGATCTTAGTTGACTTTGGCCTGTGAACCTTGTTGCTTCTTTTATAAAGTGCAAATAAAATAATGTTGACCCCATAAGTAATGATACATGCAAAGCACTTAGCACAACACCAGGCACCTGGGAGGCACTCTGTAAATGTTGCTGTTACTGTGGTTTTAGGTCTCCCAGGTATCGAGGCAGAAGAAAACGTCGACGAAGACTCGCACAGACCATTAATCAACGATGCTGAAAATGAAGATGAATATGAGCCTTATTATTCCATTCAAGAAGGCAGTACCATCACTCAAGTCAAGGCAATAAGCTTTTATCAGGCTTGTTGCCTTCCTGGAGTTATCCCGGTAAGGATCATTCAAATCTCCTTGCCACAGCCAGTGAGCTATTAGAGCTGGAGATGACCTCTGCCTGGGACAAAACATCGTTAAGTATTTAGATTCTCTTGGATCCTTTATTTTAGAAATGCATTCAGAGGACTATTGGATAGTACCCCTCAACTTATTTTTATAATGGCAACACTGGAAATTTTTTCTGACATTATGCAGAGGTCGAGAGAGTAATGTTTTTAGCTTGTGGGGATCACACAGTCTCTGCTACAACTACTTAACTCCAGAACAAAAGAAATGAATGAATGGGCATGCCAGAGTTGGCCCTGAGCCCTAGCTTGCTGACCCTGACCTAGCATTTGAGTAAGAAGGCAAAGTTGGTATTTTTAAACATATACTTTCTGTCCTGTAGCAGTATTATAAAATTATATGTCAACCAAGAGGGGTTTTGAATGGGTCGTAAAATCTGCCCTATTTGCTGACACTCTTATTCTAGGAAGAAACAATTGTTTGCCCTTTAATGAAAAGGCCCAGAGTAGAATACTCCACAGTATTTCTTGGTAATGCATTCCAGTGTTTCCACAACCTTTACAGTCAGGAGAATTTTCTAACGTCTAAACTAAATCCCTTCTGCTGCAGTTTTTCTGTCTTGATGTTTCGGGCGCTCTAGCACGGGAGTGGAAGTTAAGAGGCCTAGGTTATGTGTCCAGCTTACCCACTAACTGTCTGTGAGGCCTGGGGTAAGTCACTCAGCCCAACCTTGTGTCTCAGTTCCCCTTCCTGTGGAGCACAGCAGTCCTCCCTGGGTGTAGAACGGGTTATGGCATTGTGAACATGCACTGGCTCTTACTTAATTGCTCAGTGATGCTTCCTGAATGTAGCCCCTGAGCTAGATTGAGTCTGTAGGTTGTCATATTTCATGCTTATCAGTTCCCTTCTGCCTATGCCCCAAGCTCAGTTAGAGAACTGACATTTGCAAACAGGTTGTTAAGTATAAATTAAAATGTAAATCCCCATGATTCTTAAAAAGATGATGTATAAGGTTCATGCAAGTTCCTTTAGTCCTGTTCTTAGGCTAAAGATTAGTATTTTTAACTAGTTATTAAAGTAGTAATAGATTAATTTCTGAGACAGGCCTTCACATTTTGTTGTGATTAAATATGGAATCTTTCGCTATTCCTTTGTATTTCCCAAGCTGTTTTTCCCTGACACGGATAGGGATGTAAAGGAAATCTAGTTAACCTAATTCCTTTGTCTCTGTAACAGGCTGTCTGGACAAAATGCACTCATGACTGGGACTTGGCTCTCTAGGGGGTGGCTGTGGCCCGACCAGGGAAGCTGTTTTAAAACAAGTGATACCTAGGGAATAAGTGGCAGCTCCAGGGAAAAGAATATACTAGCCAGACACCCTTTGAAGTCAGTCTCTCTGTTCCTCCCCCTTTTTCCTTTGATGCTAAATGTCAGGATTTCCTGGTAATAATGTGTTGGATATAGGAGTCTTAGTGCCACTGCCATCATGAGGCAGCTGCACCTTTTATTCCTCAAACTAGAACCACAAGGCCCATGACAATCAAGCTCCTTTCTCTTTGACTTACTAAAGATACTCTTTTTTTTTCTTCTTCTTCTTCTTTTTTTTTTTTAAAGATATTGTTCGCTTTTCCACTGGATGTGGGAATGTAAAGCTTTTGGAAACTATAATGTGAAAGTAGTTGTAATGTTGATGCTTTTCTTAGACCTCGAAAATATTCCCCATGGTTCATAATATTAACTTTGCAGGAAATAGAAGAACCAAAATAGTTTGGTTGCTTGCAATAGAAGCTGTGATGTTTACTAGGTTTATTTGCTATGGTTAATGCTAGTCGGTGGCATGAATACTTTTAGTCTCTGTCTAAATAAATAGGAGTATGTGCCCTGCCTTACAGGTTCAAAACACTGGTTTGCTTCTACCAGAGAACTGAAAGGAGGAAAAAAGCGAGGATTAGGAGATGGTCATCTGTGTTTTCTGTTCCAAAGGCCTGCTGTAAATGCCTTTCTGGAAGTTAATGGGGATAAAGAGAAGAGGGAGACTAGGTAAAGTCAGGCCAATAGGAATTTGTAGAAAAGTTTAATTTTACAGTAAGGCTATCCGTCCCAAACTTTGCCATTTTATTTTGCTGTTTAATGACATTAGGAATTGTGGCCCTGCTGTGCTGCCTGTTCCTCACTGATAGTTGCATGTGTTTCTTGCAGTACTCACTCGCCTATGCCTGCCTGAAGTTAGTGAATTACTCCTTCTTCTTCTGGTTGCCCTTTTACCTGAGTAACAACTTTGGGTGGAAGGAGGCCGAAGCTGACAAGCTGTCCATTTGGTACGATGTTGGAGGGATTATAGGTAATGCCTATGATGCATCTTTTTCTATAGTAGTTTTATTTCTTACTCTACAGCCATTTTTCCTAAATTGTCCTACCAGTAAACAGCCAAACTCTTAAAAAAAAGTTTGTATAAAGACCCAGCCTATGGCAGTCTGTGATTTATGGGGCTCTCACTCTCAGACCTTTGTTGATGGATCTGTTCTCTTGTCTTGGGATGTTTCCCTCTGTGACCTCTTGTAATGTAACTCTTGCATACACTTTTGTTAAGTCTTAGGTCTTAACTATACACATTAATTAGTGTCTAGATTGTCAGATCATAGATGGGGAATAATAGCAGGGATTGAGATCTGTGAATATTTTGTAGCTGCTTTGTATACAGATTTTAGTAAAGACTTTTCATTATATAATAGCTGGGAGTATAAACAGGGAAGTACAACTTTAAGACAGGCGTTCTGAATGCATTTTGGTGGGTGTGACTTCAATGGCTATGACAAAGCCTTAACATCCTTACTGCAATGTTTACATTTAGAATGGTGGTAAGACTGAACTGCCCTGGGCCCATGAAAGCCCCTGGCATAGCCTTAGGTGATATACTGCTGTTGTATTTGAACTTGTTTGCCCTCTTCTTAGATCCAGAGTCAAAGGTGAGGTTGCTGCCTTTAGACCTGACAACCCTTCTTTGTTCTGCTATCTGATGAAGATGTACCAGATGTCCCTTAGCGCCTAGAATTTAACATGGGACTGTATCTAAATGCAACTGTGTTGCTTGACACATTTATATCCATCTTTTTATTTTTATTTATTTATTTTAATATTTGCCAGAGGATACACTCACTGATCCCAGAGAGAGGAAAAGGGAGAGGAGGAGGGAAACTGGAAGGGAGGGGAAAAAAAGAAGAGATGGGGGCAGGTAGAGTAGCGGGAGAGGCAGAGAGAAAGAGAAACATTGATGTAGCACATTGATTAGCTGCCTTCTGTACATGCAGTGTAGGTGTGTACCCTGATCAGGAATCGAACTGGCAAACCTTTTGGTACATGGGACGATGCTCCAACCAACTGAGCCACCTGGCCAGAGCAACATGTCAAGTCTTTTTAAACATCAGGACCTGGTAGTTATTTTAAGCCATGATTGCTGCATTTAATTGTAGTGAATATTTATTGGCTGCTACTAATAGTCTATGAGGCATGGTCCTTAATCATCTTTTACCGAAAAAGCAAAAAGAATCGGGGAAAAACCTTCACAGCTGGTTAGAGAAGAAAAAACAAGGGACAGTGGGTGGCTTTGGTGATTTTGCCTTTTTCCTTGTCTTGGTGTCTGATCTGTGGTGCCCTGTCCCCGTCAGCCACCATGAGTAATCTTCCTGAAAGGAAGTTATGGAGGAAACAGGAGAATCAGCCACCTCTCTGGATAGACCGGTGTTAGGCTCTGGATAGCGGGCGGAGGGAACCTGATGAACCCGTCTCAGGCAACCGAGCTAAATTATAGATGGTTTTCATTATGATGCACTCTTTGTGCCTAAAGGGGGAACTCTGCAAGGCTTCATCTCTGACGTGCTACAGAAGAGAGCACCCGTTTTAGCTCTGAGTCTGCTTCTGGCAATCGGGTCCCTGGTTGGATACAGTCGTGAGTATTCCCTTGCAATTAAATGTCCCGATCTCTTAGGACGAAGGCATTTGCCTTGAATCCATGACCAGCCCAGGGGAGACCCCAGAGCCCAGCCACAAAGGCATGCTAGAGACCCTTGGGTTGTCCTGTGAATACCTGGTGGAAGTATCATCACACAGTTTTATGTGTGTCAGGGAGGAAACTGGCATCTCTTCTGCTTTGTTGGTTTGTTTAAAAGGTTGCTTGGGAGTGTATATGCTTTGTCTGAGGGTAGGCTCCAGAGGAACAGCATTAGAGCCAATAAAACAATAAAAGGGAAAAGGTTTCAAAAGAGGAAAGATGGTAATTAGTGAGTTTGGTATATGTCCCCTAAGATGCTGCTGAGATTGGAGCAGGGCTTTTCTGTAGCTTTTAGAAGTCTCATTAGCTTGAGCACCAGCAAGAGACAGACGTCACAAATAAAAGTTGGAAGAGGCCATGAAAGAGTCGTATCCCTTTGTTGTGTCTGGGTGTGATCCGCGAGGTCACAGAGACCCAGGCCTCTGTGGACTGTCTCGTGGAGGCACACGGGATGTGCTTTTAAAGTCAGCATGTCTCTCCTCACAGGCTCGCCAAACAACAAGTCCATTAATGCACTTCTGATGGCGGTCACAGGTATGGCATCTGGCTCCATTTCACTGTCGTATTTCCTCTCTAAGTAAGAAAGGAAAAAGGGAACGATTTCTCTCAGTTTGAGTTATACTAAAACCTTAATTACAGAGAAGTCAAATGGTGAAAGGAAAGACAGACACAGCAGATTCTGTTTCTCTGCTGGTCTGTGACTTCCTCAGTCCTTCAGTTACAGGATCACCTTTGGACTGAGGTGACCTAACAGTTTTGATCGCTGCCCCAGCTTCTCACCTCACTTCTGGACGTGGCCTAGGAAGATGTCACCTTGGGAACCAATTCACTAGCTTTCAAAAAGCCCAGTATAGCTAGTTCTTCTTCCTGTGTTGGAATTGGTCAGTATTTCTTCACTTCAGCCCCAGATGAAACAATTGAGTGCAATTAGGGGCTGTGTTATAGGAAAGTTCCTTATTTTTAAACTTTAGATTGTACTCAGCATAGTGAGAGCTGCTCATGCCACCCGAGGCTCACGGAGCTGATTGCAGCCGTGTTAAGGGATTCACGTGGGCCAACTCGTATGCGGTCCTTGGACAGCTTCCCTGAGAGCAGAGCAGATAGAACCACCTGCACCGTTTAAATAGCCTTTTCTCTTCTCTCTCCTTTTTTATTATGTTTGGTTGACTTCGGTAGTCAGATGTTCTATGACCCACCTCTACTATGACAGAACCTGACAAGCTAGTGCAGCTAGTTGTTAATCATAGTACAATTCACAGGATTAGAAAGACTGTGTGTTCACTATATTTTTTATATGTTTGGTTTCTATAAAATATACTAGTGTGTCACTTAATTCAAGAAGGGATTTCAGAAAAGTGGATGGGAATTAATTTGAAGATGGTACTACGTGGGAGAGTTTTCATTTTTACTGGTTATTTTCTCTCTCTCTTTTTTTTTTGTTTCTCTCCAAGATAATGAACAAAATTGTAGGATAAGTGTTTGCCTTATTCACTAGATTCCTAATGGAGTTATGGATAGTGTTTTAGTAAGAACCTCTCTGTGTATGACCTCAGGATTTTTTATTGGCGGACCTTCTAATATGATCAGCTCTGCTATTTCTGCTGACTTGGGTCGCCAAGAGCTCCTCCAAGGCAGCAGCGAGGCTTTGGCGACTGTCACTGGAATTGTTGACGGAACTGGGAGCATTGGAGCTGCAGTGGGTCAGGTAAGTGAGCAGCAGAGAGGTCGAAATGGAGTGTTAAGTAGTCCTTCAACCAGTGGAAGAATATGTAACTGCCCACTGGGCCACAGTAGGTGGCACTCTTATGCTGTAGTGTGATGTGCTGAGGGCCTGGAGATTTGGTTCTCTGTAAGGGCCAGTTGTACTGGGAGCCTGGGGTTGAGTCCTCTCTAAGGGCCAGCTGTAGTGGGAGCTGGGTTGAGTCCTTTCTAAGGTCCATCTGGAATGTGCCTCTACATTTTTAGTTGTTTTTTTTTCCACTTCCAGATTCTTTCTGGAAATAAGCTCACACCTCATCAGATAGATCCTTCAGCCCCAGCCTGCTACCCCCTGTTTTCTAGCTTGAACATGGCACTCCAAGGAGGCCATGAGACACGTGCTTCTCATTATTCCCCATCTGACGTGTAAACCCTACCGAACACACATGTACACATGTTCATTAGATGGGTCCATCCCCTCCAGAAGTGGCCAGTGATCTGCAGCTGCTCTGAGTCACTTTCTCTGCTCCTACAACATTCTAAATCATTAGGGAAATGCAGATAAAAAGCAGAGTGAGCTACCACTTCATACCTATTAAGATAGGTGTAATTTAAAAAAAAAATGCAACAAAATAACAACTATTGATGAAGACATGGAGAAATTGGAGTTTTTATACATTGATGGTGAAAATGTAAAATGTTAAAGCTGTTATAGAAAACTGGTGGTTCTAAAAAAAAAAGTTAAACATTAGGATTACTGTATGGCCCAGCAATTCCACTCTGAGGTATATAACCCTAGGAGTGGAATTTCAATGAATTAAAAACAAGGTCTCAGATATTCGTATGCCAACGTTCATTGCAGCACTATTTATAGTAGTCAAAAGGTGGAAACAACTCAAGTGTTGACCAATAGGTGATTGTGATATCTATACTAACAAAAGGGTAATATGCTAATTAGGGTGGACATCTTCTGGACATTCATCTGGACAAAGCCACAGTGGCTATGAGGCCTGAGGCTCATGACAGCTGTGGGCTCAGTTAGCTGTGAGCTCTGGTGGCTGCAAAGCCTTGCAGCCGCTGTGGCCAGCAGTGGCAGCAGCAGTGTGGTGATGGAGGTGGCCCCTTCCACTGATAAACCTGGTTGCCTCCTGCAGAGGTCAGTAGACATCCCCTGAGGGCTCCTGGACTGTGAGAAGGGGCAGGCTGGGCTGAGGGACCTGCCTCCAGTGCACGAACTTTTGTGCACTGGCCCTCTCTAGTCTATAATAATAAAAGCATAATATGCTAATTAGACCAGACAGCCAAATGACTGGATGACCTTCTGGATGAAGCCGTGACTTGAGGATGTTCATTTTCCTCTCTCACAGCGAAGGGAATGGAGAGAAACCTCTGAACGCATGTCTTCTGTGGTGCAGTTCTGACTCTGGGAGCTTACAGAGTGAAGCCGTTAGTGCAGCTCACACAGGAACATGCATGTGAAAGGGCTTTGTAAACTGCAAAACACTATGCAAATCCTAACCCTCTCCTTATTTTCTAGAAGAGCCATGTTTAAATTACTCACAGCTACTTGATTTTATTAATTTATGAAAGATAATACAAAAATTTCTTTTTCTCCGTTTTAGTATTTAGTGTCTTTGATCCAGGACAACCTCGGATGGATGTGGGTTTTCTACTTTTTCATTCTCATGGTAAGTGTGTGCTCCCCTTTTTTTGAACTAGTAAGTTTTCTTACTGATTTACTTCAAAGCATCTACTTAAATCACTTCTTAAGCCAGAAAAATTGCTGATTGCTTTTAAAACTCTTTTGTAAAAAATAAGATTTTGTCAGTCTAAAAGACATTCTTTTCTCAAGGCAGGAAAGGGCCTTTCTTTAGTTTGCCTTTGACCTGAGTCTAATGAGTATTGTCACTTGTAAAACCAGAAAAAATAACAAGCAACTTTTTTAAAGTTTCACCAATCATTAATCGGTGTGCTTTTCCAGGGTACTCTCCAGCGGCTGAATATAATTTGGGAATTCTGAAGGAAATTACAGTGGGGGGCACCAAGCCACAGAGGGTTAAAAAAGAAGCTGTGGTTAGCACTGTTACGTGTGGATTCTAAAAAGAACCCGAGTCTTTGAAAAAATATCTGTTGTGCCTTAGGCCTCCTTGGCTGGAATTTTACACTGTCTGGGAAATAGCCAATACAGAATAAGGCCTGTGCTTTTGAAATATTGTTTTCTGTTGAATACGCATGTGATATTGTCTGTCCCAATATTGGTGAGACAGTGGTCAAGACAGGTCTGCGTGAGAGAGTCTGTGACAGCTTCGTCCGCCAGGGGATGCATTCAGTTTGCTGTCCCTAAATCTAGGGCATCCTAATTGAAGGCAGCCTCAGCCGGCCCAAGTCCAGACACCGCAGTCTTGTCCCGGGAGTCGGGGGAGTTCAGCACTGGAGTTCCCTGGTGCCGCCAGAAGGCTTATGTTCTCTGCTGTCACAGAGGATGCTTCCTTCTGCCCAGCTGCCTTCTAGCTTCCAGAGACTATGGTTATGGAACTCTGTCCACTTCTGACACCCATGCTAAGTAGAGGGCAGTGTCTGCTGATGAACTTGTTGCTATGATCATACTAGGAATTCTAATAGAAAAAACTGGATCTATTATAGGAAACACATTTTAAAAATGTTTTCTTTGATTTCAGGGAGGAAGGAAGAGGGAGAGAGAGATGGAAACATCAGTAATGAGAGAGAATCACTGATCAGTTGCCTCCTGCAACCCAGGCATATGCCCTAACCGGGAATTGAATTGTGACCTCTCGGTTCATAGGTTGACGCTCAACCACGGAGCCACATAGACAAGGCAATAAACACTTTTTAAAATCTGAGCCCCAGTATCCATTTTCTGTCCCACCTGTCACAAATTACTTAATTTGTGTATTTTAGTTCTTTTATTTGGAGACTATAATGTAAATTAAGTATTTTTTTAAAAATATATTTTATTGATTTTCTTATAGAGAGGAAGGGAGAGAGATAGAGAGCCAGAAACATCGATGAGAGAGAAACATCGACCAGCTGCCTCCTGCACACCCCCTACCGGGGATGTGCCCGCAACCAATGCACATGCCCTTGGCCGGAATCGAACTCGGGACCCTTCAGTCTGCAGACCGACGCTCTACCGCTGAGCCAAATCGGTTTCGGCTAAATTAAGTATTTTTAAATATTAACTGTAATTTTCAAAGTTATTATTTATTTATTTATTTATTTATTTATTTAAATATATTTTATTGATATTTTACAGAGAGGAAGAGAGAGGGATAGAGAGCTAGAAACATCGATGAGAGAGAAACATCGACCAGCTGCCTCCTGCACATCCCCTACTGGTACCAAGGTACATGCTCTTAACCGGAATTGAACCTGGAACCCTTCAGTCCACAGGCCGAGGCTCTATCCACTGAGCCAAACCGGTTTCGGCTCAAAGTTATTTTTTAATTCATTGAAGTTCAGATTTATCTTTGTATGAAGTCAGAATGAATGTAATTTTTCAAAGCCATTATGTTCAAAACATGATGCACTAACAGAAGTAATTAAATTGTTACTGCACATTTAATGCTCTTCTTCTCTTTACAGACAAGTTGTACAATTGTATTTATTTCGCCATTAATAGTGAGGGAAATGCGCTCTCTTATGCAAAGACGACAAGTTCGCATACTAAGTGAATGACTGGTGCTCCAGAGGAACAAGAATAATAGGAGACACATTAGGACTCTAATTCCTTTTAATTCATCCCATTTTGGGTTTGTCTTAAGAGCTCCAAAATAACCTCAGATGGCCAAGCCTCTTTCACCAGTGTCAGCCTCTTGCGATGCTGACCAGAGCGAGGCGGGCTGTTTCTACACTACAGGAATGATTGCTGATTGTTTTATTGTTGTCCCATGGATGTTCACGTGGCCTGTGAACCTTCATTGGGCATGTTGAGGTTTATCCCTTTCACCTTAAAGGCTACATTGGACATGGACCTTCGTTCTCCAGCCTGGGAAGCTGAGTGACCACAGGCAGCCGTGCCTGGTTTCTAGCAGAGTCGGGCTCCGTGAACAAAAAGGCTTGCATTTTACTTTGGAAATGAATTTGCAGAGGGTAGCTCATCTTCGAAGTATCAAATCCTGAGAAGGTGCTCCAGCTGGATCCAGAATAAGCCTGCCTTGGACTGAGAATGCCTTTGTTAACCACGGTGGGAAAAATCATGCTACGTGCTGAAGCAGGCTGTCTCCACATTGCTGTCAACTTGTTCTTCATTCAGAATTAACTCTGGCTCCTGGCAGTATTGCGTCACCCTTTCAAGGACAAAAGGTGTATCAGTTGTGAACATTCCAACGAGTCACCCACAGCAAGTACTCAAGCTCAGGTTTGCTGTTGGATCCACAAGGAAGCTAATCTGCTCAGCCCTGTTTTCAGAGGACTGACCTCTGTCACAGCCGGCTGCCTTGAGTAGCCTCAGCAGGAGCCTCGCTTTAGAGAGAAAGGAAGGAAGGACCTTTCTCCTAGTACGCGGTAGCGTGTGACATGGAATCACACTAAGGGACCACTAGGGCCTGAGGGGACTTACATATCTATTCTTTAGAAGTTTGTGGAGTATCCATCTTCAAGGTGTGAATTCTAAACTGATTATCAATATTTTAAGGCATAATATTGGATAAATATTCTGAATTATGTAAGCAAACTAGGGGGAAATGTGCAATTTTGAGGCCTGCCTAATTTGCTTTGGGTTAGGGAATATTTTTCAGCCTCCTGCTTTATACTCTGAAATGTGGTATGTTTGTGAACTTAATATTAGCAGATTTCCAATCAGTTAATTGCTCATTACTGACAAAAAGGGAAAGTATGAAACACAGGAAGGGAAAATAAACTGACTTTTATAATAAATGTCTGTCCATCTGGTTATTTAAATTTATACTCTGAGCTCCATGTTTTAGGATGTGACTCATGCCTTATGATTTCCTGCTATTGAGTGTTCCCTTGTGACCATTCACCGGCCCTACAGTGCCGGCAGACCGTACAGTTTCTCCCCTGTGGGTGCGGGGCCAGCCCAGTGCTATGCCCTTCCTCTTGGGTGAGGTGCTGCTGTGTTTGGATGAGCTGCCTGGTTGTAACTTAAGAATATTGTCTAGATGAGCCCCATTCTGATTATTTACCCTCTTCATGGAATTTGACTGAGAGAGAATGGAAAATTCATGTGTTTGAATCACTTCAGAGAGTAGCAACATTTCCCACGGGCAGATCGGGGTTGTTAGAGCGATTCACGGGAGACAGGTGGCAGTCTAGGCCTCTGACCGCCTCAGGTGCACGAGTCCTCTGGCTGAGGTGTGCTGATCAGAACAGTGCAGCCATTTGGGTTTTCCTCTGCATTTTGGGAGTGTGCCACCAAAAACAGAGAGTGGGGAAGGTGTTCATTGAGTTTCCGGCGGGTGACTGGATGAGAGATGGATGAGAGATGTTGGGACAAGAAGAGGAAGAGCCCTGCAGATGAAGAGGTCAGATCAAGGGCACTTGCAGTGCAGCACACATCGCCATCACCCAGTGCAGCTGCTGGCAGCAGAGCCGTTCCCGAAGCAAGAACGTGTGTGTGGAATCCTGCTCCCTCTATAGTTGCATGGCTACAATGTATTAAAATGGTTTTCCCAGCTGGTGAGTTGGCTTCAAGTTTGTTCCACTGCACTTGTGGTGCACTGACCCGCTTTGCTGTGCTGCTCGGTGTTGCCACTGATGGCATGTGCTGTGGCCTTTTTTATATCATTGCTCACTTCCACAACAAAAGCAGTTTCTCCCCAAATCTGGCAGTCTTCCATCATACCCCCGCATGTCCCCTCCGCCTCTCCTGGTACGGTCACACCTTTCTATCCCAACATCAGCTGTTCTTTTCTTACCCAGTTTAAACTTAGACACATCTGAAATGAAATTACAAATAACTGCCCAGCACTGAACATCATTATACGTTGCACTATGGATATATTTCCTTATTGTTCTAGTTCTGTCCATCTACGTAGGGATTAGTGTTAAAGAACTCCCAAGAGGTACCTTCCCTTTCTTACTGTTTTTGCCACGAAGAGCCCATAGTGAGGCTGATTCGGAAATGGAAATGCATTCTTCGCTGACAGTGTGCTCTCTGATGTTCACTAGGTTGAAGTAACATGCTCTGGCCTGCCTTTTCTTGTTCTACATATTCTCCTTTCATGTAGTTTCAGAGGAAGAAAGGCCCCTCTCCCTTCCTGCTTATTCAGTTCCTTCCTGTTTCTTGGAGGACCAGAGCCTCACAGTGAGCATTCATGCAAGAGATGTCTGCATCCCTCTGTGTGCGGTATGAAGGATGCAAGATGCTCCCATCTGTTCCTTTCCTTCTCCTTTAAAACCTCCAGACGTCATACTTGCCTCCCACATAAATGACTGATGTAGCCTTCTCTTATCTCTACGAGCTCTTCTGACTCACATCCTGTTTATCTTTTCACGACCAAATCCTTTGAGTTGGTGTCTGCTGCCTTCCTGGCTGTACTACCTTCCTCCTTACCTAGGTAACTAACTAGATTGGGATGTACTGGCTTCTGCCTGATCTTCTGACATAATTATCAACAGCACTTCTCTTTGCTCTTTAATTTGGACACCTTATCCTTAATCTTATTTCATCATCGCACAGAGACTGACAGAAACTGTGCATCTGAAGGCCATAGAATTTAGAATCTTTTTAAGATCTCTAAAGGAAGGGAGAGGGAGAGAGAGATAGAAACATCAATGATGAGAGAGAATCATTGATTGGCTGCCTCCTGCACACCTTCTACTGGGGACCGAACCCACAACCTGGGTATGTGCCCTGACCTGGAATCAAACCATGACCTTCTGATTCATAGGTCAATGCTCAACCTCTGAGCCACATTAGCTGGACTAGAGATCTTTTTTGGACATTTCCTTATCTTAATCCTGCTCTTGTACTTGATACTGGACTGTCCTCCTTTGACTTCTTTGGCCTTTTAATTTATTGAATCTTCTTACCTCCTCCCTTTTACTGGGTTCTCTTCTCTGCTCACCCTATGCTAGTTTCCTTCCTACAGTAGGTGTCACCAACTTTTCTGTTTAGCTGTTCTCAAAATCTGCCATTAGCTCTGCTAAATAGAAAGAAACCACTAAAGAGAGGTATAGCATCCGCTTGTTAAATACCACCTGGCATAAGGCTTGTCATCTAGTTTCCATCTACTTTACTGAATTTCCCATTGCTGCTACACAAGCCCGCTACAAAATCAGACCAGTCAGCTTATTACTTGCTACCAATGGCAGCTTGTTATCATATCTTGTCTTTATTTTTATTTAACAACAACAACAAAAAATACTGACTTCAGAGAGGAAGGGAAAGGGAGAGAGAGAAACATCGATGAGAGAGAGAGACATCAATCAGCTGCCTCCTGCACACTTCCTACTGAGAATTGAGCCCACAACTTGGGCTTGTGTCCTGAGTAGGAATGTAATGCGAGACCTCTTGGTCCAACGACATTCAATCCATTGAGCCACACCAGTTGGGCATATCTTGTCTTTAATTTTTTTTTTTTTTTTTTTTTTTTTTAGAAAGCACCTGTTTTTTGTTTTTTTAATCAGAAAAAAATTGTAAAATATACAATATAAAATTTACCATCTTAATCATTTTAAGTATATGGTCAAGTAGTGCAATTATACTCACATGGTGGTGCACACCTTCTTGTCTGTGATACCCCCTTTTAATGCTCAGCTTTCTGAATCTTAATTTTCCTTCAAGGCTTGGCCAAGCTCCATCTAATCCAAGAAACCTTTCCCAGCCAGCCTTATTAACCCTCCACTTAGCCGTTTCATCAGGACAGCAGGTTTTCCTCCCCACGTGGCCTCCGCGGTCTCACCTTGCATTGGTAGCAGTAGCAACATTACTTGTTTGGTGCTTAGCTGTTTCTGTCTTACCTATTTTTATATCTAACTCCCCAGGGACCACGTTGCTCTTTTTCTCCAGCCCCTAGTTCTTTGTCTGGTAGATCCTGAATAAATGTTGATTATGCTGGAAAAGGTGAAAGGAAACCAAGAGAGTGGAGGGTAGGAAAAGTGGGCTGTGACTCCCTGACTCTACAGATGACCCTTTGTCTTGCATAACACAGGACACAGTCACCTGATGCAGCAAATGGCCCATTATCCCGCTGCCCGCAGTTCTGTCTGCCGTCTTTGAACGCACTGCACCATCTCAGAGCCGTTCCAGGTAGAACACAGTCTGCCCCAGGCTGACTGATTTTACTGTCTTATTTCGTTCTCGGGTTGTTTCTGGGGACGTTGTCATTCCTCAGTTAAGTTGTGAGCATCCAAGAGTCAGTTCCACATCCAAGGACGCAGTAGCTCTTTCATCAAGATAGCAGGCTTACCTCCTCACGTGGCCTCGGGACCTTTGGCTTCAGGGTCATCTTCCTTGTGCTTTTCTTGAAAGTCTCTGAGCATTTCTGGTGACCACGTTTCAGCATATTTCCAGAGTAAATCAGATTAAATGTGAAACTCAGCTGTTTATATATTCGATGATACAAATCACTTAAATTATTTTATATGCCTGTGTATTATTATAGGTAACTCATGTGACTACATACATATGTTATGTAACTTTATGTATACAAGTACCACTTCAGCATATAAGTATATGCACACACATGTATATATGTACGTATATCTCAAGC